CCCTCTACCAGGTTACCTATGTGCATTCCTTTGTAGTGTTGCAATTTCACTTTTGGTGTGTGCGCGCGCGCCATGCAAAATTTCACATTTCATGCTTCATACATTGTAAAAATTCACTAGGTTACAAATTCCCTGGAATAACAAAATGATGTTAACATAAGCCATAATGTTTTAAGCTCCAAAAGTCACATAACTTGCACTTTGTCAATTGAAACATTATAGCTTGTGTATAAATTCAACTTCAAAAATAAAGCCACTTACATGCCATTATCACATTATTTTTTTGCAGCAAAAACATTGCAATGTTGGAATTGCATTTAGAATTGCATGCTCTCTAAATGCAAACATTGGAATTTATATATATATATATATAAATTTTTTATGCAATTCCTATGTTTAAACTTTAAGTAAATTTTACTTAACAAACTAACAATTTATTACAACTACAATTCTGTTTAAAGTTATTAAAATTAAATCCATTTCAAATTATCCCTAATTTTAAACAGATTCATAATTAATTACTATCTTCACAGATGTCTAATTTGTATGTTTATATTTAAATTAAATTAAAGACAAATGGTAAAATCAATCATTTCTGTGCTAAGACAGATATGTTTCAGAGATCAACTTTTCTGTTTTGTTTGATTTTGGATAAATTGACTTTGTATACAAGTAGATGTTACATAATATATGTTATTTGCACATGATATGATATTGATAACATTATTTCTCTGTAATAAGTAAACTGAAATAATGGATTTAGCTCTGAAATCAAAGGGCCAAAGATCATAAAATTAAAATATGTGAAATTTATAATTTTAGTTATCAACTCATGTAATATTAACTTTATGATAACTGATTTATTCATTTACAAGTGATTTATTGAAAGAAAATGCACTAGTTTATATTTTGATGGCATACACTACACTAAAACAAATTAAAGGATTCCAAAAACATTGAAAAATCTAAAAGAATTGGAATAAAATCATCAGACAGAACATGGAGGAGATTAAAATGATAATAAATATGACTCCAGAAAGAATGAAGCCAACTCCAAATAGATAAGAAAAGCTTAAGTAGATTTATAATAAAGATTTTTCTTGAATTTGGTGAAATGAAATAATATAATTTTAATATTTTTCAATCATACTGGTATTTTGAAATATTAACCATTTTTTGAAGTATAATAATAATAATGGTAAATCAGCTTAAAATTGTTAGAGATTATTTCACAAAAAGAAAATAATTTTATATTGACAAAACTTTAATATATTTGTTGTTTAGAACAGAAAGAATTTTAAAAAAAGGACAACAGATTATCCTCATCATTTTTCTTTTTAGAAAGATTATGCAAAATGAACTATTTGAAAGATCAGAAACTTATGCCAGTCACTTACTTAAATATCAATTAATTTTATACATCTTCTATTTTCTTAAGTTCAAAGAATAATCAAATTTTAAGGTTTGGAAATAAAATACAATATAACTGATTTTATAGAATGATTTGTTTTTCTTATTCCATTATAAGAGTTTTCATTCAAGAACTACTGTAAGATAACTTAAACAGTAAGAGAAGACAAATAGTAGAAATAACATTTTTGGATATTATTAAATTTGAATTTGAAACATTATAATTTAGATTTTATATACAAAATAAAAATTTTATTATTATTAGAATTTGAGTTTAGGTCCTGGAAATCCAAAAATATTTTATTTTTGTTTGCCATTTAATTTTTTTTTTTATCAGTGTTTATGTTTAAGCTTCAGTTTGAAAATAATTTTGTAAGTTTTGTGTTTGATAATTTATATACAAAAATACTTTAAGGACCCAGATTCCATATTTAATTTAAAGTTAATAAAATAAGAAGTATATTATTTTAATTATAATTTTGATGATTATAATTAAATTAATCTGAAGAAATCTGGGGTGCAGAGGGAAAGATGTTTCAGTAAAATGGAATGCCTTAAAATTTTTATCTGGTTTAACATTTCTCTAGTAAGAAACAACTATGTAATGTTTGTGGTTAAATATGAATTATTACTGGTAAACCTAGCATAATCTGAAGTTTAGATTCTAAACTTTTCTGAATCTATCTGTTAAGTCAAAGAAGAATTACTATACCGTATTAATAATTCAAAATGATCAATTTAGAATTATCTGATTTTAAAAAATCCTGATGACACTTTCTGTACATTTTTCTAAAAAAATTATCAAAACTATCCATAAATATTATATTTACAACAGAAGTAATTTTACATAATTACTTTTGTTACTACAAAATTATATTTAGAACTAACAGAATTTCATGTGTGAGGTGCTATTTTTCATTAAGCCAATATGGATGTTTTATAATGACAAATATGTAGATTATAACAAGCTGTACACAGTCACTTGTTTGTTAATACAATAATGTACAGGTTGATTATAATTAAAGTTCCTGTTTCATAGTAGTCTGAAATAAGAACCATTGGTCAGAGCGACTTGACATTTCGCGCGAATATTCGGGAAGCAATGGCATTTTGTTTGTAGAAAATATTAAAATTTGCCAATAAATGCGTACTCTATTACGTGGAAAGCAATACAAAATTAAAAAAACATGAGTGACATAACAAATGTTCAATATGTTGTCCTTCGCATTCAGATCAAGCTGAAATGCAAAATACTGTAGTATGTTCAACAACAAATCTGAGTGTTTCTGTAGAGATGTGGATATGATGGGTGATGCTGGCTTTCAGTTCCGCTAAATTTGTAATGTGCGTATTAAATTCAAGTTGTATTAGTAATAACGAATGTTGTGATTCTAGAACGAAAAAGCAATTTTGATAATTTAATCAGTGAATTTTTCTAATAAAATTAAATCTATTTCTCACAACGAAGATAAAACTTTCATAGATATTTTAATAACGTCGCTTTATAAACAGAAGTGGATAACTTTAACACTGAATAATTATATTTAAATAAAAGTTTTCGATTCTAACGAATCATCATTACGTTATAAGCCCAAGATAAAGAATAGAATGCGTAACCTGAATAAATACGAGGCTTGTAACCCGATAGCGACTCATTAAACGAATCGAAAACCTTTATTTATATACAATATAATTATTCGCTGTTAAGGTGTCTGTTTATAGCAGTGAGAGTTTTTCTTTTCAGGCCAGTTGTTTCAAAGTAAATGCTTTTAATTTACTACATATTAATGTTTTTAAATAATTGCAGAAAATTGTCGAAATAATTTATATCAAAAATACAATTTTCGAATTTATATATACCTTTTTTAATATACACTATTTGAAAAACTGGAAAATATAAAATCAAAATGTAAGAATATATTTTCTTGTGCAAATTTTTCTATATTAAACTTCCTTGATACATGCCGTTATATTTAAAAAATGCGTGAATGAATACTGTGCCACAGTTTTTACATAGTTTTAAAAATTTTCGGGGAAAATGAATTATCGTTTTCTACTGTTGAAAAATTTTCAAAAACAATAATTCATAACGGACACTTTTCAAATACCCAACAATTTAGTTCTTATTACCGGAGCAAACTTAAACTTGTAAAAACAAGTTTGCTTCAATAGTTCAACTATTAACCCCGTTACACTATATTAACCTGTATTAAGATAACCTGTTTCTTTTTAGAAAACTCAAAAAAGATTAAAATCAAATTGAATATATCAATAACAGCGTATCTGACACTAAGAGACAACCATGCATTGTTAACGTTATGAGCTTATGCCACGAAGTTTAATTAGTTTAGGTGTAAACAATTTATTATTTTATAAATTTGGCTAGTAGTTTATACAAACAATCAATTTTGTTAAGGTACTAAACTGATGTTGCAATATTATTGTTTTGAACAGTACAATACAACTTATAATAAAAATATATTTTATGAAGTGTTCAATTAAACTTGAATTTTGCGATTAATTAAATGAACTATTCTATCGAATAAAAATGTCATTTATAAATGCGAAAATCATGATTACAATTGCTTGTGAAGTTCTTCTTTTAAGCTAAAATTATGTCGGTGTTAATGAATGGCTGCTAGTTACTATCAACTCCATTTACCAGTCGTAAATGTTATCAAGCTGTAAATTCTCACTTAGATATTAATTTTATTTAAGCCGTTTTGGATTGCTCAAATTAAATATTTTTCATGTAACTACTCTTTCCATAATTGAAAAATATAATAACTGAAACAAACAATGTCATTGGGTTGAGAACAGGACGAATAAAACGGGCGTGTCTATTTTATTGTATGAATTTCACGAGTACGTGATACAAACGACATTGTGAATGAGTTCATTCGCCTTGTTTTAATTCACAAGTTATTGTGTGAATGGAAAAAATAAACTATTTTTAGCTACATAATTGAGTTGCTAAATGACAGCTTGGAACTATTTTTTAAAATTTATAATGTATTGCGAACTTTAAACCGCAAGAAAAAATATTAAAAAAATTGCTTTTGCCAAAATCGATCCTTTGACTAGAGTAAATCCCTTGTTACGTGAATCGATATAGTTTTACTTTAACTGTGATTGCAGTTAACTTCATCGTTTATTTTGTCTACGTTAGGATGAATTTTTATTTAAAAATGAAGGTAAATTGTTGTTTGTATTGTTTTTGAAACATTCATTTAAAAACAGATGTGTTTTCTCTCTGGTGTTTACAAAATTATTTGCTTAATATTTAAAAATAACTACTTTAAAATTTGAAAAACAATTTTTAGAAATGATAAAAGTTATCGATTCATTGGTTTGAATGTCTCAATTATCGAATTACGTTGCCATTTTTTTTATTTTTAAATTATAAATAAATCACTAATATACTTTTATTTTTGAAATAATCTATTGCTCACTTTTTCCTTTAAAATTTCAAAAATTAAATTTTTATAAAGAGGAATATTCTCATTTTTTAGTACATTAATATTTTATAATCCGAACTAATAAAATCTTTTTCATAATGTATAAATCATTGATTTTCTTTTACCCGTATAAGGATGAAACTAATGAATTTAAATAAATTATTTTAACGAAATTTAATCGGTAAACAAAGTTATAATAAACATAAATTTCTTCGAAGATGTCGACAGTCTCCCGTTTATTAACATCATTTCGTTGCATTCTTAGAAATGAAATGTACGAACCAGTTTATAAGCCTACACGTTAAATAGAGAAGAGCGTGCTTTAAATTAATTCTGGATGAAGACTTACTCGTGTAAATAGTAAAAAAATTAGTAAGGTATGAAGGAAAAAACATCACGATTGAAAAATTGGAATTTATTATGCGTGAAAATCAAGCAATAGCTTACACTTAATAATGCAATAAATTTATGAATCAATGAGGTAGACGAATTTATAGAAAACTGTTTGAAAAAAGATTCTTCGTTCATACGATAGATTCTGCTAGAGCATCGGAAATTCTGGTCGATTCGTCATTCTGTACGCTGCTCGAACTTTTATCAACCAAACTGTATAATTGAGATTTAATTTTCGGTTGGAATATATTACAATTAGTACAATCGACGCATTCCGGTTCGCTTTCCGTTAGCTTTGCCAATTCGGGTTCGAGTGCACTATTCAGTTCTTCGGCCAATTCATTTTTCTGTATGGATGACTCGCTGTTTCTATTCTTCTCCGTTCCCATACGTACGATTTCGGTATTAACGTGTTTATTATCGTATCTTACGCTGACTGACGTGTAATGAGGATTTTTAAACCAGATTATACCACTCTGATTGCTCTCCAGATCCGATCTCGATTTTGGAAATGAATTGTTAGCGTTGAGCTTCGTATTGTTCAGTGGATAACTGAAGCAGGACTTGACCGAATTTTGCGAATGAGAATTTCTGTAAATGGCAATTTTTTGAGTTTTGTTTGTCGTCTCACTTTTACCACATTCGCAACAGCAGCAGCAGCAACAACAACACCATATGAGATTTTTGTCCTTGCAAAGTTTTTCCCTGAAGGCAACGCGAAATCTATTTGACATGACACTGTACAAAATAGGATTGATAGTAGAATTGAAGTAATACAAACAACCTGCAAGAAAATTGAAAAGTTTTAATACATCCTCAGGCATTAAGAAGTTATTTTGCGAAGTTTTCTTAGTTTACTTAAGTCTTTACCCATGTAATTTTCGGGTAAACATCACACAAAGTTAAGCAAATATTTATCGGATTTTGTGTGTAAAATGTGCTTAGTGTTATGTGGTTTACAATGTAAATATATTATCAAAGATAATATTTAAATGTTTTCGCGGACCGAGTTCCTAGAATGATGTTACAACATGAATACGGAAATTTTAAAACAGTTTAACAAGACAATGCTATTTATTTGCCAAAGAGAATTTAATTACCATATAGTTTAAATGGCATATTAAATTATAAATATATAAGCTGTTTAATTATCTCGATAATTAAAAAGAATCATGCATTATTAATTTTATATTATAAAGGTTCATTTAAATATCACAATAATAATTTAAATTACAGTTGAGGGAGAAACTAAAAAGGAAAAAAAAAAACAACCAATCGCATGGAGAAAATTCAAATCACCGTTAAAAGAAAATTTAAATCAACCAATAGACGAAAAGCTTTTTTTATTTAAAAAAAAGCCATTCACGTATTGGCTGGTTTTAAAATTCAAATTTTTTGTAATTATTTTTAAAATAACTTTTTCTTTTATCACGCGTGATTTTACTTATTTATTATTATCATTATTATTGCAAATGATTTCTTAAATAATTTTATATCTTTATATTTAAATATTTATAAAAGTTTTAATTTTCCACCACGTGATTGTTCGCATATCGGCAATGCGTCTTTATCACGTGACGGGCTAGATGCTGCTGTTTTAGAAAATTCGTGACAGCTAAAGATGCCGTTGTCTGCCTTCTCGGAAATTTAAATATTAAATGAATGCATCACGCGTTTTATATTAAAATGTTAAATTTGTTTATAAGATTAAATAAGGTATTTTATTCTCACGTGCAATGTATACCGAATGCATTATATATTAATTATAAAATATTATTTAATCTTGTTCTGTAAAGTAAATTACAATTAAATTGCATAAATATTTTTAATTGTAATAAACAGACACGTGATTAAGTTAATTTTGCTAATTTGTTGATATGAAATGAATTAATTAGAGTTTAAATTTTAAAAATCATACGTGAATTCGTTACGTCTAGAATATAACAAAATTTTTAATTGGCTATCGTTGATAATGTACCTAACGAATTAATTAGGCAATGGAGGCCTGTTTTAAATAATTTTTAACAAGAAAAATTCAAATTAATAAATAATTTATCGTTTTTGTTAAATTAACGTCTCTCTAAAAATATCCATTTTTTGAGTTTTCTTTTAATGAGTCTCGTGTCTTGTTTAAAAGTACGTCACAGAGAACGTACGAGTATATAGTGTGACGCTAATAGTAGTAAAACACACACATCGCCATGACGTATGGTGACGTAATTATAGTAATAAAAATTTGAAGAAAAATAAACAGAGAAATTAGGTAAACTTAATAATTACCTGCTATGCAAAATAAATCTTGGTTTATCCTTTTAATGGTATCATTCCATTCGCCATATAAGGAAACGTATACGAAAAGCAGACGTTGCGTGTTATAAGGCGCCCAGCATACGAAAAATGCAGTAACAACAGCAACTGTAAAGAATTAGATTCGTAAAAACATGTTCAACGCATTGAATTTTGTCTCGTGATCATACCGAAATATAAATTAGAATTTTTCTAATTAATCGTTTCGAAGAATTTAATAATTAAACTACCATCCTACTATTTTTAAGTGCTATATTTACATCGACAAATTAAAATCCCGAATGTTAAAAATGAATTATATCAGGTAGGACGAGACACATGAAATTTAATTAGTTAAATTATTTACGTATTAGATTAATGANTATTTTTATCTTCATAATTATTTTATTCAAATAATTTTACAAGAATTGTGATGTAACAATTAACCGAATAATTCTTTGAACATTTGTGACATCAACAAATTTTAACTAACAAACTTAATTAAAATATTCTTAGGGAAATCAAAATTAATTACGAATAAATCGATAAAGTAATCATTAAAATATTTATTAAAACTACAAATTTCGATAATTACCTTATTGACATTAACGACAATTAAGAAACAATGGAGAAATATTTAATCATATTTCAAGTCGAGAGCTTGTTTAGTTTTTTTTTAATTAGATCTATTTTGGCCTGCGATTTCTTGATTCATTAAATATTAAAATATTTATTAAAACTATTTGAAAAACTCAATTTTGTAGAATAGCTTTTTTATGGGACAAATCTATATAGTCACGCGATGTTACGGTTAGAGCATATATTAAAATGCTATACGAGATCATCTCGTGACAAAAATGACTCGTCGCGCGAGGAATCTACACACGTGATGAAATTCATTGAACAATACGAGAAATTTCCCCGAAGATATTATAGGAAATTTCGCGTTTCACTTCCATTACAATAGTGATTATTACTGAGAATGTACAGTACTGGTAAGTGAAATACAATTGTATAGTTTTTTATATAGTACAAAGTTTGTATGGGTTTCTTCTTTACCAGAAGATTCTTGACCCAATTCGGAGACAATGCCCCAAATAACTATTATAAATATTGTCAGCTTGCTTGGCATTAACTTATATGAAGCGTGTAATGCCATTTTTCTCTAAATACGTTTTATTGAAGAAACAAATTCTAAACGCAATGTTTCAATGTTTTCTGCTGCAAATATATATATATTGTGATGATAGTGGCGCTGTAAGTGGCTCTATTTTGAAGTTGAATTTATGTACTGTATAAGCCATAATGTTATAAGCGACAAAGTGTAAGTCACTTTTGGTGCTTAAAACATTATGGTTTATGTTTATCATTTCGTTATTCCAGAGATTTTGTAAGTTAGGTTTTTTTTTTTTACCATTTTATTGTATAATTGAAATGAATTTCTTCAAGACTTGAAGGAATTCATTCACTAGAAAAATTCTTTTTATCACTCCTGAAAAGTTTTTTTTTTGGCATTTACAATATTAAGGCATTGCACGCTTCATATATTTAAATTTTTTATATTGATAACGTTAAAACTTTAATTTTCACAGAATATATTGTTTTCTCATTGCACTTTAAATATCTTAGAATTAATTACTTTTGCATTTTATTGATAACATCTGTTATCAGTGACAAGAAGATTGAAGATATTGCATCTATAGTTTTCAACTACAATTTATTATTCAGAGAGAAATCGGGGAAATTTATCATCAGCGAAAAAGTTTTCTGAAACGTATAGTTTGTTTCAGAAAACTTTTTCGCATTACTTATAAACAATCACCTCGAAATGTCAATGGCATTATGAAGCAAAATGTAAGATATTTCAAGAAACTACACTAATATCTGTTGAAGAAGAATCTCGTGCATCATGCTATTAAAATATAATATTGTAAAACACATCAAAGCTTCCTACGTAAGAATTATTTTTAAATATCAGGGCACACAATATTTATTTTTCTCGCAGTGAAAATGTTGATTCTAATTTATATACTGTATTATTCTATTGATTCTAATTTATATAATCATTTATATTTTAATATATTCTAAAAACTAAAATTTTATTGTCTCATAAATATAAATAGAGTAATAATAATAATAATAATACAAATATTTTGGCATAAATTTTATTACTTTTTTTTATTGTTATTTAAATATAAACGCCTAATAGTTAAGTTTCCTTCACAATATTCCAGTAAGTAATCAATACAGCTGTTGTGGGCACACTTTATTGTTTTTTCGTAAATTATTAATTTTATAAATAGTTTATTTCATAACAAATCGGTGTCTACTTGCTTTTAAGATTGTAATAGATATAGAAGTGAAGAGGAGAGTGAAACCAGAGATGCACTGTCTACTTATAGATGTCAATAAAGAAATATTTAGACCTCTCATAGTTCATTATCTGAGTCAAGAACCCGTCAGTAAAAAAGTAAGAGTGGAAAAATATAGACAAGTTATTATATTACAATCTTATATAAAATGTTGCTCTTGTATTAGCTTTTGTTGAGAATTTTATAGTTTCTATATTACCTAATATATTACAGTGTATTAAATTAACAAGTAAAAATTATATTAGTGTACATTAGTGATGAATATTATATCATTAGAAAATATATTTACAGTACAGTATATTCAGGGTCTGATGGTGATATGAAGTAGCTAGACGACGGGCTTCAGGCGGTATTTTTCCTAATAAACCCTTCGTAAAAGTACAGTACATTGAATATTTTATCGTATAAATTAAAACGTGAGAGGCTACCAAGACTCAAGATATTGTAAATTATATAGGCGTGACGGTATAAGTTTTTATTTTCATTGTTAACTTCGTGTACAATGGGGCGAATGTCGTCCTATTGTACACGCTTGCCTCACTTTATTATTTTATACCATCCGAAACTGACTTGTGAGTAATATTATGTGTATATTTTTATACGGTACAGTTTATATACAGTAGGCATATATAATATCGACATATAAACGGATGATAAAATTCAATTTATATGGTGGTCCTTATTATAGGGGCTAAAAATAAAAGTTGTAATATGCACAGGGGCATCTGCCCAACTGCTCCTCCTCTGATTTCGTCCTCTTAACACTTCGCAATACATAACAATGGTAGGCTAAAATAACCAAACTTTTAATATTGTTTTTTATTTTAACGTTTGTCCTTATTAGGCTTACTTTTCGCCCTGGCAGCGCCGACTATATCTGCTAGTTATAATATACTGTATAATTTTCCGGAGTAGTTATATATAATTTTCTAAAGAGAACTATTTTATTGGGGTTACTACGAATTGTAATACCATGATTAAATTGATAATTATCGACGAAAAATTCTAAATGTGCATTAAATTAGAATATTATTTTACAATGAAATTGATAAAATCCTGAAATTTTTAACGAATTCTTTTAAATTTTACCATTTATCATTCAATGAATTTCATCGTGATGTACGAGTACTGTACTGTATATAAAATTTAACGATAAAATTCACGTGGAATCTGTCACAAGACAAACGACAAAATTGATTGAAGTTGTTTATAAATATCATAGTTATTTTAGAAAAATGATAAAGTTGATAAATATCAGAAGACATAAAATTAAAAATCGAAACTTGTCGGAGGCGTCAAATACAATAAATTTCTTCGTGACAAAAACTAATGCGAATTTCGGGATTGTATCGTAGCTGAATCGATACAATTGTATGGAAAGACGCTTGTAGAAAATAGATAAAATACAATATTTTTGTCAACGACCATCAAAAAAGACCAACCAAAGCAGAAGATAAAAGTTTTTCTTGTGATTCGGAGGACGGAGAAAACAATAATGAGAATAGAATAAATTGTTGACGTTAGCTTTATTCGCGTTCTATAATATAATTTCAGAAACATGTTTTATGCGGAAAAATAATAATTTGTGTATTTCTCTCTTTAACAGGAATAAATAAATGAAATGTGACCCCTCACTTTACGCATTTAAGATTTATTTTTCACGTTCCATTATTCCCATTTATCGAATCGAGATGGTATTTGTTAAATGGAACAAAAGTCTTTATATTTTATTTCCTTTGTTAAATATACGAATATATTAATCCTTATAGAATTCGTATTTAAAAATAATTATTTTAAAATATATACAGACTATTATCGAGAAAAGAAAGGAATTGCTATGGGATCGGTTGTTGGACCAAAATTTGTTGATATTTGTATGATATTGATAGATGGAAACAAGTTCAAGGTATTAAATATTATGCACGGTACATAGACAATATACTGATTGTAGTCTATATGATTCACAAATAATATCGCCCCAAGACATTGAAAAACATGCAAATAAGTTAAATAAGAATTTAAAATTTACAATTGAAGAAGAACAGAATCGACAAATGAATTTTTTAAATGTTACTATAAAAAGAGAAGATACCAGTCGACCCCCAATAACACTGTTTATTATTCCATTTTATATGAACTCCATGTTGTACGAGTCACTTAGATTTTACAAAAGCGTGTGCCGGGCTGTGAACGGCTCACGTATTTGTAAAACTAAGTGACTCGTATAACACGAAATTCATATAAAACGGAATGATCAACAGTGTTATAGGGAAATCGATTGTACTCAAATTTTGTTGTGTAAGTACGAAAAATTATGTAACACAAAGAAAACTATTAATTTTAAATCATATTGTTCAATAGAAACTAAGAAGAACGTATTTATAATGGAAATAAAGAAAATATTAAATAGATCAACGCTACAAGAAGATATAGAAATAGAAACAAGACAACTTTTTACTAAATATTTATTAACAGACACACATACATTCATTTATATATATATAGATTAGTTTTGTAATAGAATTTTCAGATATAATCAAAAATTATCTGAAGTTAATAAATATAGAAAAAAATCTTACATTAATTTCTTATAACAAAACGCAGCACTAAATTTTCTAAAACTAAAAATTTTTCCAAAAACTATGGATTTAATAATAGACTTTATTTTCAGATACAAAGCTTTTTCTAAGTACTTCCGAAAATAGATTAAAAATTTAAATCTTTTAAGAATTAAAAAAAATTATTTTATACTTTTCAAAATAATAAACCTGAAATACAATATAATTTCTTCTGTGATTTTTCTATTTTATGTGGTATTTTGAAAAGTCCATTTGTTTTATGAAAAAGTTGTTCATATATTAATAAGCTTCATGCCTGTACTANCTAAAAATCTAAATGTACTTTCAATTTACTGGAAAGGGCAAAATGTACCAGAAAAAGTACAAATGTACTAGGAACGGCAACACTGAATATGCCCAAAAGTTATTCAGGTGGTGTGGAAATTTTGCTTATATATATTGTCACGAGTGACTAAAATTTAGAAAGTTTCTAAGCCCAGAAAACTTACACGTTAAACTTCCTTCATATAAGGTAAAGTAAGGATGAGGCAAATGTGTCCTTAGATGATTAAAGAAATATGGGGGGACTTTCCTATCTTTGATGTAACCTGATATAAATATATAACATAGAGATTACTGAAAATACAGAAGTAATTTTTGGCATTATATAGAAAGCGTTAGATCAATGTTTAAATGTAAGCTTTTAAAACATAAATAACATCATAAAATTTAATTATTTAAGGATAAAAGATATTAGGTATGCCAGGAGGGCAAGTGGGCATAGTAAATATAACAGAATTTGTACGCAGAATGTTATTTAATGAATATCAAAGTATATTTTTTAATTAATGCATATTTTTTTCTTTGTTAGTGGATGTTGTTCTTAATGGTGATGATCCTAACTTTGATAGCGTCGTTACTCATGCATTTATTTGTGGAAACACCTTTGTATTATCTTATTGATAAAATAGTTGATTTTCTCTGTAAGAAGAAAAAAGTGGATTGAAAGGAAAAATGCAGAATTGATAATTTGGGTGAAAATCAAAACAACGACAACAATGAAGTCTAATAATATCAATTATTTTAATATGATTAATACACTTGAAGATATTGTGATTCCAAATATAATTAAATTGATTTGTAACAATATTGATTAAATGTATTTCTTTATTCGATATATTTAAATGTATTGAATAATGTAGGTATAATTGTATTCAGTTAAAATATAATAAAAGTGATTTATAATAATATTTACAATATGTTGTAAAATTAAAATTTGGGGAAAAATCGACCAAAATATCTAATTATTTGTGTATCTGGAAATTACTAGTGCTCAGAAACTCTCGTTATGTTTCAGTTCATTCTGATTTTAAATATTAGTCACTTCAACTTTCTTAGTTAAAAGTACAATAGCACTTGTATATACAGTATTTCAAACGTAGAAGAAATGATAAAAACACGTCTTTAAAACTTGTTTATCTAAATTAAAATGTCATTATACCATTGTGACAAGTGAAAATTTTTCTACGCTGTAAGAACATGAAAAAAAAATTGTTTTTCTGCAGTTATTCCGAAATTCACCTCGCTCCATTGTATGAGAATTTTTAGTCATACCTGTCACGGCTTCAGCTCTACCTACAATAAGAACTACCTGTTGAGGCTTCAAAACTACTACGTAAAATTTCTGAATAGAACATTTTGTTGACATCTTAACATAATTTCTTCTTCTTATCGTTATAATTGTTAGGAGTAAGCATAAAATTGATTGAGAGGACGAATCACACAGAAACAGAAAACTAAAATAGTTAAACGAGGTTTATTCATGCTACAGGATATGAATTTCGAACACGGAAGATTTAAAGAGTAATCTAGTTTACACAAGCCGCTTTAGCCATCACTCGAAACCATTTTATCCGCTGAAACCAATATTAAATAAATCGTACAGATGTTCATTCAAGTATTGTACGAAATTAAAGCATTAAAAACATCACAACCATACAAAGTTCTAATAGATCGGAAATACAGTAATTGTAAAATAAGGTTTTTGCAATTCAACTTTATCAAAAAGGTAGCGATAAATATGCTTGACTATGAAAGTTTGTAAATCATGTATTTTTAAAGACAGACATTTAAAGCTTATTCAAAATTCAGAATACAGCGTAAAAAATGCAGACGATGTAATATCAAAATTAGAAAAAAAAGAAATTTTGCCTGAATATAAGTTCATGACAGTGGCATGCCATGACATTTGATGATAAGAAAGCAGTGTTTCTGTAAAAAGCTGACTTGCAGAGACAATCATTTATGGTCTGTTTTATTTAGGGTCCATTCGTATTCGCTTGTTCGGTAAGCCAGTAAAAACGGTAGACATCTTTAATATCACAGTTACATTCGGAATCGCTAGCCACGATATAAAAGCTACAATTAAAAATAAAATTATAAAAAATTACTTGGTGAAATAAAATGTGTGGTGGATGCACAGTACATACCTGGCAGAAAATATTATTCAATTGTATAAATATAAATTTATTCACAAAATTTAAAACAATGGAATCGGTGAAAAAATTCATAGAAATACTAAACTTAAAACTACTTTTTCTTATCCCACTTCGAGTAATGAATACAAACGTTTGTCAACAGACTCTTTAAAAAAAATACAAAATAGTCTTAATAAATTAATGGAGAAATATAAGAATGAAAATTCAACTTAACAGGTAAAGAATCTACCAGACTTTAATAACGTAAGAAAACCTAAATTAAACTTCGGACTCAACACTCAACACTCATAAACCGGGAAACACTTGTAGACCTTTCGTAGACTTTAAGAATTTTATAGTATATAATCTTAAATGTTATTTAAAAACCTACTTACAGGTAATAGATAAATCACTTTATGGCGTACAGAACACAAATGAATTGATCAATGGACTATTAGAAGGCAAAATTAAACAAAATTATCGTATTATGAGCCTTGATGTTACAATAAATCAATGTATTCATCTATTACTTTAGATGTGATTAAAAAAACTACTAATAAATATAAAATGCCTAAGTATATATTAAATCTTATAGAATTCCTATTTAAAAATAATTATTTTAAAATATATACAGACTATTATCGAGAAAAGAAAGGAATTGCTATGGGATCGGTTGTTGGACCAAAATTTGTTGATATTTGTATGATATTGATAGATGGAAACAAGTTCAAGGTATTAAATATTATGCACGGTACATAGACAATATACTGATTGTAGTCTATATGATTCACAAATAATATCGCCCCAAGACATTGAAAAACATGCAAATAAGTTAAATAAGAATTTAAAATTTACAATTGAAGAAGAACAGAATCGACAAATGAATTTTTTAAATGTTACTATAAAAAGAGAAGATACCAGTCGACCCCCAATAACACTGTTTATTATTCCATTTTATATGAACTCCATGTTGTACGAGTCACTTAGATTTTACAAAAGCGTGTGCCGGGCNGAAATAGTTTTTTTTTATGTTTTATTCTAAAGCGAGCATCGTAATCTTTTTCTATATTTATGTAGTTTTTAGCCATGAGATTGATATATTTACGCTACATTTTCTCATAAACTGAAATTTTGATGTACCATAGGGAATAGTAATAGCTTTGAGTACGTGAAACGAGAGCAAAATTAATTTGAGAGACGTGATATCAACCCGGCTTTATATAAAACTACGTTCGAAAAAGATAAACATGCTCTTATTCATATTTCATTTCTATAAATGTACTGCATATTTGTTAACGCAAGGGAATAGACTTCAGCAGAATATTAAATCGACTTGTCTACGTACATTGTTTACAAATCACGATAGCCATCATGATTAAAGTTTCGAAAAAAAAACAAAGTAAAAGTATCTCTAAACAGACAAAACATGTAAACAGGAAAAAGTACTTACTCAACATCCTTACAACAATTCTACGGCTTTGTACTTTTGATCTTTCACCATCAGTCCTACAAGCTGTGTTAATTTCGGATGTACATCGCTGCAAATTATTCGACTGATGTAACGTCACAGCTATTCTGACGTAAAGAATGACAATCACAGTCATAGGAATAACAAAAAACATAATAGTGGAACACAACAATAGCGTCTCCCAGTTCTTGTTTGGATCCGTAAATGGAAAACCACACCACGCAGATTCTTTAAGAGTTTCATTTTTCAGAGTTAAATAATTTACACTTGTAAATATGCCATAAGGCGTGGCTGCTAGTAGAGATATTAACCATATAACAACAATATTTTTAATGGCTCTGGACAGTTTTGACTTTGTTTGTTGGCGTATGGGATGGCATATGGCCACGTATCTTTCCGTGCTGAAAGTCACTATGGTCAATATAGAAGCGTATGTTGTGGCTTCGGGCACTATGGCTCTCAGTTCACACATTGCGTTGCCTAAACTCCATGGATACTGTTGCCATAATGTGTATAATTCTAAAGGCATTGCTGTAATGAAAAATACACACAAATTAGTTTCATTTTTTTGTTTTGAGAATCGAGATCGAAATTTTCAAAATGAAGTTTACAACATTTTTCATTGCTCTACGTAATTGCGAAAAGAGTAAATAAAATGAAATAATTTTGGAAATAAATAAATAGATTTTACGTAGATAAGAAACTTATATTAACATGAAAATTTTTTAAAGATAAATCAGCTTATCTCAAAAATTTCTTCTTTGTCTTAAAATCACTTATTTCGATATATCGATGAATTCAAGAAAAATGTGATATTTATTATATACGAACTTTACAGGGGTGACTGTGGGAATTGTGGACACAAGATCGTTTTTTAGTCTACGAGACCCGTTAGAGAAAACTTTGATCTTTTTACACCAATCTGTTGGATCTGTTGGCTATCATATGGTGTAGGACATTAAAGAATCTAACCTGTTTTCCCCAAAATATAAAAAAACTAGACAGTCTGGTATTCTTGCGGCACGGGTAATAACGGACAATACCCGAGGCAAGGATAAACAACTAAAAATAACCAAATTTTGTAGACAAAAAAATATTTTAAAAAATGAAATAAGTTATTTACGTATATTCATTAGAAATTTTAATACAATAGATTCGTCAATTTATTTATTTTTTTTTAAATAAAGGAAAATGAACAAATCAAACATTAAATTTTGATTTTACAATTTTGGATTGACAAGAGCAGATCCTGACCACGGCAACTTAAAATTGTAGAGTATAGAGACGTTACCCTATCTAAATTTTGGTATGTGGTAAATAAATAGCATAAAATGCACTATCATCAACATTTACAAAGATTTCTAAAAACTTCGTGATATATTTGTTGTAAGAATTATCTGAAAGAATAAAATCTTTCAAATACAACGTGTTTTCAGTTGCACGAATCATGGACGAAAACGCTTAAAATTAGCAATATACGTCATCACTACGTAACTGATAAAAGCCCACCAGTGGCGGAGTCAAGGGCGAATCCTGATCAAAATTTTTGGGCATGCTGAAAGTTATAAGAATAATAGGCCTATCTCTAGCACTAAATAATAAAAATGTGAATAAAAAAACCACTGAACACAGGTTCAGTGGTTTTTTTATTGATTCCATGCGTTATTCCATGCGACATTGATTCCATGCGTTAGCAAACCAATATTCCAATATTAAGTAATTTTATTTTAACAAATCGTCACTATTAGCTCTTAAGATTAATATCTGCTTAATATATTGGTTTCAAAAGTTTTCATTCCGAAGCACTAATCACCTTTTCGATGCTCACTGGATTTCTCTGCGTTGATGATGTAATACAGAGATATCCATTGTTACACCCGTCTCGTAATATTAGTTTTTTAACTAACAGAATGATGAAGACAAGTAGGAAAGATTGGGGGAATCCCGGAAAAACCACTGAACACAGGTTCAGTGGTTTTTTCGATCGTGGGTTCGCGTCTCGCCAACGAGCTTGCCACTATCAGTTTCTGGTTTTTCTTCACGTTAGTAACACCTAAATAGGGGCCAGTTTTCCATGAAAGACCTCCTGGGAAGTATTCCCCTCGGCAGATTGTCCATGCATCGCGTGCCGTAATCGAACGAAACTAACGTAACTGATAAAAACCTAACGAAACGTGACAAGTTGGTCCAATCTCTTATTTTTTACAATATTTTATGTTCGGCTTTTCCCCGCGTCCGGGATTCCCCCAATCTTTCCTACTTGTCTTCATCATTCTGTTAGTTAAAAAACTAATATTACGAGACGGGTGTAACAATGGNGAAATAATTTCTTTTAAACTATAAATTACGAAATAAACTTATACATAGTTTGTTTAAACATGACAATTACTATATAAAAGAATTTTATCGTGTTTCTTATAATAAAATAAACAATTGTATACTATTATAAAACGAATAAATTGTAAGTAATATTTACGATTTTACTCTGACCTCTACCATTTGAAGAGATAATGCCAAATTTTATCAAAGTTTCGACAAAAGTTGCGAGGACTACCCAACTTGAAAAGAAACCAAAAGAACGACCTGTAAAAAATTGTACGTAGAATGCATATTTAAAACGTTATTATTATATAACCTGAAAAACACTTGAAAGTTCTCGTGTCTGCAATATCGAATACTTATTTATTTTTTTTAATTCGATGTATTTTCGATGTAAAACAATCTGTAAATAACTGTATCTATACAGTAGACCCCCTATAACACTGTTGATAACTCCGTTTTATATGAATTATTAATATGAACTCCAATCATTTATTAATTTTATATGAACTCCAATCATCATTAAGCAATATGTTTCTACGTTCTCTCCAAATAGCATCAATAACTCTTCTATAACTCTTAATAAATTAATCATGCGACATATTCTCCAGATCACTTTCGATCTTGGCAATCGCTTCTTCCTTCATTTTATAAACAATTAAAGACGCCTTCCACAATACCTTTTTAACTAAACCGATAAACCAATTAATCATATATTTATTTTGATTTTTACATATATAATTGATATGATATTTAACAATATTCCCAAGTTATTTTTGTTTTCCAAACTTTCTGATTCCAATACCTGACCTGATTAGCAATTTCACATTCATAATACACATGTATTATATTTTCTTCCCTACCACATCGAGAGCACCGGGAACCATTATATCTATGATATATATTGAGATAGTATTTCGTAATCACAACGTTTTAAACTATCCGCCAAGAAATTTCCTGCCACTTGGCCGGGAGTAGGTTTATATTTTTCCAAATTTCGTCCCATGAGTAAATTTTATCTAACATATTTGTACTGATATATATTGCTTATGTATATCACGATAAACATAGCCAGGTATAACTTTTCTATTATCAGTAATAATCTGCGGTTTTTTGTCAACAATAATACCAAGGTACTCTCTCCATTTCCGATACTTTTTACTACTATTTACTAAGAACGGTTTGCTCACTACTGACCGAGTTATTCGTCTCGTGATCGGCCCTAGGATATATTTCACCACAGAAGTGAGTGGATGCGTTTGCTTTTTCAAATTATTTAACGTATTATTAAGCTGGAGCGAACATTTCAAGCCCTTTACTTTACAAATATTCCAACCACCGTTATTTATGCTATTTTTCATTATCTTGCGGCTCATAGGTTCAAACGTATTATGCCATAGAAATTTAAAAATGTTTGACTCAATCTGTTTTATATCCTCAGTCCTTAAACTAGTAACATACAATAGATACAATATTCTAGCATAAATAACCTGTTGACAATAATACAGCGTTCTGGTAAAAAAAAAGCCAATTGATACTCCAATCATTTATCGCCTCCTTAATTTTATCCAATATTGAATTTAAATTCTTCTGACAGCTATTCTTTCCATACCACACGCCTAAAATTTTTATATCATCAGCCTTTTCGACATACATGAAATCACAATCAAGAGATCCATAAATACTCATTGATTAACATTTATTTTCATTGACACACAATCCCGTCATTCTACTGAATTTCTTGATTACAACAATAATCGTATTTAACGATGGTTTATCTGAAACAAAAAAAACTGATGTCACTGCATGTGCCACGAAGAGAATTTCCTCCCGCTTTTCCGGAATATAAAAGGGTGTAATTAACTTCTCGTTTTGAATTTTTCACAATAACAATTCAATATAAATTATAAATTAAATACTATAATATAATAGAAGGATTAGAAACACAAAATAGCCTTAATATTTATTCTGATTTTTAGCTTGGAAGACTTCGGGCTTTCCTGCTAGTTTGTCTATAAAATCAAAGCATGTTATTAATTACTATTTGGCATTCTACGACTGAATTATACGACAGAGTTTTTACTAAAATATTAATTCATTACGTTTACTTATATTCATAAAATAAAGCAATTAAACAAACTATAAATAAAATTTCAATACAACATTATAAATGAAAAACCAAGTTTTTGCAGCAATTAGTGTCACAAAATAATAAATAGTTGTATTGTTTGGTTCATAAAACATAATTATATGGCCTTTACGAAATTTTTCGGAAATCTGAAAAGATTATATTAGTGTGATTAAAAAATTATTGGAATATTATGTAAATCCTTTGTCCTTTTCTCTTCTTCAATAATTTTATATAAAAAACTAGCTGCAAGGACCCGCTTCGTTGGGTTTTTACATGTTCGTACATTTGTATGTAATATAGTTTTTGGTTTTTATATATAAAAGACTATTTTTTCTAAGTAATCTAGAATCTATCTGCAAGGACCCGCTTCGCTGGGTTTTCAAAAAGCAACGATAGTAAAGATTAAGATAATTACATTATAGCCAATCTTACCCGTTTTCACAGAATGCAAGAATTAGGTCCCCCGTTTCCAGACTAATTAGAGACCTGGTCCCGATTTTATTTCTGAACTTCTCCTGTTTACGTCAAGTCAAACGAACTATTTTCAACGTTTCTGGAAAGTTTACAATCGTTCTATAATCAAACCAATATTCGGACATAAAATTCGAACAAATTCGAATTTTATGTTCGAATTTAATTCGAACAAAACATTCGAAATAGAGAGCCACTTTCAACCACTTTCAGCCTCATATCTCTCGCACCCTTATAGATATCGAGACGCAACTACCCCTACGTACGAATGGAGACTTGGGGCTACCATTACATACAAACACCATTCACGTGCGATGTGTAGTTTTGGCGAAAAAGTGAAATATAGGGACATACATGTCCATTTTTATATATATAATATAGATATAGATATAGATATTGATATAGATGAAAATAATTTACATTAAATTCACAGCTTTGAAGGTTAAAATTACTATACTTATAATATTTCTGCTGTACTTTATTTTAGCAGATAAATATCGGAAAACTTTATTATTGCAGTAAAGTTAAATTATATAATTATATATCGTTAAATGTATTCAAAAAGTTTTCAAAATAACAATAAATAATTTAAGTATTTTATGGTCTAT